TTCTTCTTCTTCTTCTTCTTCTTCTTCTTCTTCTTCTTCTTCTTCTTTCTTTTTGCATTACAATTCTTATTATATATGTAGAGCACAATTTTTTGTATCTCTGTTTGAAACAGAGATACAAAAAATTGTGGTATATATGAACCGGCTTCTTATCCCAGTGTATATGTGGTTATCCCTGCACTACTTTTCTTTCACATGCCATCCCAGGAGTATTGTGCAGAGAAGTACACAGCAGCATTTTATGGTCTGAGTTTGCTTAGGGATGGACCCAACCCAGTGTCACCCCATGAAATTTACTAAGAATGTCCAGGCATGCCAGACAGAGAAAGAGTCAGAAAATTTCCAAGAATAAAAAAAAAAATAGTAACAGCTAGAAAGTACATGTTCTTGCTAAGGATCCTGAGGCAGAAAGAAACCAGATAACATGAGAGTTGGTGACATTGGATTAGAATCCTCAGATTGGATAATGATGAAAATGTGATTGTGAGTTCCCCACTGGGAGGTGCTAAGGTGGAGTGTTCTTGAATCTTGGAGCTCACTCAGAGGAGGTATTGGATATGATGACAGAAAACAATTATGTAACAGGAGATTTGAGACCCAGAAAGGGGCAGGAAATGAAGTAAAATGCAGGGAATGTAGGTTCGGGGAGTGGGATGTATTTTTTTTCTGGATCTTCAAAACAGATCCAGAACCCAAGCTCTTCTCTTCACCTCACTTTGAGTATAGTGGTCCAGACTCTGTCCTGCCTCAGCAGCTCTGCCTTGGTGACCTTTCACTTACCCTTTATGGACTGCATAGCCTTTGCTCTGCTCTGACACTCTCAAAATGCTCTCACATCCCTTAGTGACAGGAAATGCCATAATTTTTACAGTGGCCTATGATGTCTACACAGTCTGACACCACCCAAACTTTACCTCACATTATAGTCTAACTATGTGGCCTCCCCCAAATCCATAGGTTGAAGTCCTAACCCTCAGTGTACCAGAATATGCCTCCTTTGTAGATAGAGTTTTCAAAGAGGTCAATGAGGTTACTGATGGTCCTCATCTTACTGGTGTCCAGTTAGGAGGAGATTAAGACACACACACACCTGGCCATCTACAAACCAGTGAGAGATATCTCACAGGAAACAACTATGCAGACACCTTTCGACCTGAGAACTGTAAGAAAAGTAATTTCTGTTGCTCAATCCCCAGCCTGTGGTATTGTTATGACAGTGCAGAAACCAACCTCCACTCCCCATAGTCACCGGGTTCTGCACCTTTGGCCTCTCTGATGCTCCACATATATCAGGCATGCTCTATCTCAGGGTCCCTGGGCTGCTCCTTCCAACTAGAACTCTTTTCTGCAGATACAGCTGGTCTCACTCACTTATTCCCAGCTCATGTGTCACATGTTGTGGTCTTCCCTGACCCTCCTGATATTTAAAACAGCTCCCTACCACCACCATGGCCATCTTTCCATATGCTCTTCTTTCAAAATTTTTTAACCACATCTTGTTAATTGTTTCCAAGAAACAAGAAAAAAGTTATATTGTTTGTTTCTGAATCCCTTAACCAAGAATATATGGTACACAGAAGTTACCAGATATTAAATTAATGAAAGAGCAATATTCCCATAGCACTTACTTTTTCAGGAGTGAAAAGATAGCATTTGCTGTGCTCCAGTCTAAACCAGCTGTGGGTTCATTCAGGAACAAGATGGAAGGATCAGTGATCAGCCCCATTGCTATACTGGTCCTTTTTATTTCTTCTCTAGATCCAACCTAAAACACAAATTATTAAATTATTAACAAGGAGGAGAATAATCATTATCATTTGGTGAACTAAACTGTGCTACTCTTGCTAGAGAAATTTATTTCACCATCCTAATTATGAAACAGAAAGTAAATGAACCTGGGAGAAGGAGGAAATTTCTCTTTTACCAGATGAGTAAACTGAGGCTCGGGGCAGAGTTGTTCACTGGCTGGACCTGATATGAAGCCCATGCTTTTTACAGTTCTGTATATTCCTCACCAAGACAAATATTTAGTTTTAAGATAGTAAGTTAGAATACTAAAAAGATACGGCCCTAACAGTGAAATTATTGTCTAAAATAGGAGAAAAGATAGGAGGAAAAAAGGAAATGGATCCGTATGTAGTAAATTAGTCTTCTAGCAACACACCTGTTTCCACCCAAAGTTCCCAAGTAGACTTACAAGAACAGGATTCACTCAGAAGGGAAAGTTCACTTTCTAACATACCATATTAGTACCTTTCCAATCACCATAATGCTTTGACAATGATACAGTCTACACCCTGACTCACTGCAAAATTCCAAATTCACCCTTTCAGACATGTCCAGAAGATATGGGATATTCATATCCAGAAGATGGAATATTCCACAGGGCAAATGGCTCAATTTTTGCAACCAGAACCAGTAAATGCCTATGTGTCTGATGAGGGAACTAGGAAGGTTTGGGAGGCAGAAAATAGGAAATGATATCAAAATTAAGAGTCTCAGAAGAGATAGTATTCAAATGTTACTCACAGTTCTTGATTGAATTTATTGATAACTAAACTCTAAGATGCTTTTGGAGAGGATTTGGGAAATGTGAATGAATAAAGGCTTAACATAACTGATGATATGAAATATTGTTCATTTTGTTAGTTGATAATTATATTGTGGTAAGGTAGGAAAATATCCTTATTTTTTTTCTAGATGCCTATTAAGTACTCAAGGATGAAATATAACATTATGTAAAATACTTAGGAAAAAATAGCTAATTATGGGTATAAGATGTTAACACCTGAGAAATCTAGGTGAACAGTATTTGTAATTATATTGTTATAGTAATTATCCAAAAGTCACTTCATTGGTGTAATTAGACTGCCTTCTGTACTGTTTTATAATGTTTAGAAAGACATATAAGGTTCAAAAAATTAAAATTATTATGACTTCAAGATGGAGGGCCAGAAAGAGGCAGCATCCTGTGTAGCTCCATGACCCAGGTCTTACCTAGTTGTAATACAACATCTCAGAGAGTGTGAGAGGACCCCTATACAGTGGATTTTCACAAAAATCACCAGCACTGTGACCCCCCATGCAGAAATCAGAGCCTCTGCATTAGAGTAGGACTCCAGATTCTGGACCCAAAGCCTGCAGTTCTAGCTCATGCACGGCTCTCAAGCAGCTTAGCAGAATCAGCTATCAGCACCTCTGCAAAACTCCAGACTGTGCTCGGCTCCCATGCAGGTCACTCAGCTGCTATCTATCCACAGCACAAGGCCATTGCCCAGCTCCCCCCACCTCTTGAGACACCCTGGCTCTGGAAGCAGACCAACTCCATCTTGGAAAATCTTTCTCGCCATATTTGGTGGGCATGGTTCTCAGATTGAATCTCCATCTGAGCAGGTACCTGGTTTCCAACTCTCCCTGCTGCCCCAGTGGTGATAATTCAGCACAATAATGACCCAATATAAAAGCAGCTCTCAGTTAGGCAGGTGAGCAGTGTGACCAGGGCACTGCCCACCTGGTATGAGCCTATGGGTGAGAGGTGCTGCTACTGGGATCTGATAAGAAAGAGAGGGGAAGGGACTAAAGTCTGGAGCATAACAGAGAGACCAGGATCTGGGAAATCTTCAGGCAAGAAAGGAAGATGATACTAGGGGCCCAAGTCAGATGAGCTGTCCCAAAAAGAGACCTGTGAGGTACAATTTCCCTGCTGGAAATGGTGGGTGGCACTCCCCACTTACAGATGCTCTACACCAGGTCCAGTCCTCTCACCCAGGTTACCTACACCATCCTGAGGGCAGAGACACCAGCTTAAAACAGACAACCCAATCTAATGGATGAGAAGAGAAGTAGGAAAGAAATGGATCTCTAAAACTAGCAAAAAAACATGGTTTATTCTTTCGAGTATTTTTTTTTTTCTTTTTTCTTCTTTCTCTTCTACCCTTCTATCCTCGGGTCCTCACTTCCCAAACATATGTGAAACCAAGAACTTTGCATGAAATAGGACTTTGAGGACTGAGTCACCTGAATAATATAATATAGAGGAGTTGCATAAGCCCCCCCCCCCCCATTTTACCCCCTTTTTTCCTTTTTTTTTCTTTTTTCCCTTTTTTCCTTCTTCTTTCATCCTCCAAGTTTCACTATTTTTTGCATTCTGTATTTTTCTAAATACATGTGTGTTTGTTTTATGTACTATATTATCTTCCCACATACTTGTCTAACCTAAATTACTTCCTATTTATTCCCCTGCTACTAACCCTCTTCACTAGATTTCTCTTTCACATTTACTGAGACACATTAACTCTATACTCTCACATCTTTCCCCCTCAGAATATCGTCCTAGGTGTGACCCCTGGTTCATTTTCCACCGCCAGAAACAGTAAACCTTTTTTATGACACTACTGATTATATTGTAAATAATAATTAAATCCAACATTACTGGACATTGAGACTACATCGTAAATGTCTTAATAACACCAAATTGTTCTTAGGTGATGTATTGTTGATATTGGGATCTGTTAACATTGTCCTTCCTCAAAAAGAGGGAATCTTGGAAACCTACAAGAGCACTACAAATCTATTGGGTAAAAGCAATTAACACACCAGACCCACAGAGCTGGAAAGGAAAACACACGAGCAACATGAAACAAACAAGTGTAGAAAGTACAACAAACAAATCAAGACAACACATCATTAGAAGCACTGGCAGCTAAGGCAGAAAAAACTACAGAGAAAGATTTCAGGATATAGATGGTTAAAATGCTTTGTAAATTCAAAGAAGAAATAAGAGAACAAATACAAGCAGTGAAATATCACTTTGACAGTGTGCTACAAAAACAAATCCAAGAAGCAAAATATCACCTAAATAGGGAGATAGAGGTTCTCGATAAATAAATAAATAAGCAAACAAACAAATCAAATGGAAATCCTTGAAATGAAAGAAACAATGGAAATTAAAAGCTCAAATGAAAGCATCGCCAATAGAGTAGACCACTTGAAAGATAGGACATTAGACAATGAAGAAAAAATATATAATCTTGAAAAGAACATAGACCCCACAGCAATAATGGTAACAAACCAGGAGCAGAACATTTAAGACATATGGGATTGCATAAAAACACCAAATTTAAGAGTTTTTGGGATAGAGAAAGGGGCAAAGAGGTCCAAACCAAAGAAATGAACATTCTATTCAATGAAATAATATCATAAAACTTTCCAAACATAATGAATGAATTGGAAATCCATATTCAAGAAGTCTACAGGATGCCAAATGTGCAAAATCACAACAGATCCACACCAAGGAACATTATAATGAAAATACCCAACATACTGAATAAGGAGAGAATTTTAAAAGCCTCAAGAGAAAGAAATCAGATTACATATAGGGGAAAACCAATTAGAATAATGGCAGATTTTCAACACAGACCCTGAAAGCTAGAAGATCTTGGAACAACATATATCAAGCTCTGAAAGATAATGGGTGTCAACCAAGAATCTTGTATCCAGCAAAATTAGGCTTTAGATTTGAAGATGAAATAAAAATCTTCCATGATAAACAAAAGTTAAAAGAATTTATAGCTAGAAAACTGGCACTACAAAACATTCTTGGCAAAATATTCCATAAAGAGGAAATGAAAAACAATGATGAAAATCAGAAGAGGGCGATAGTACACTCAAGGAAAAAAATAATCAAAGAGGAAAACCTAGTCAAGTTAAATAACAAAAATAAACAAGTATGGCTGAAAACACAAACCATGTCTCAATAATAACTCTAAATGTTAATGGCTTAAACTCACCAATCAAAAGACACAGGATAGCAGATTGAATTTAAAAAAAGACCTAACATTGTGCTGCCTCCAGGAGACTCATCTGATAGGAAAAAAACATACACAGACTGAAGGTGAAAAGTTGGGAAAAATCATACCACTCACATGGATTGCAGAAGCAAGCAGGGGTCTCCATCCTCATATCAAATAAAGTAGACTTCAAGCCAAAATTAATCAAAAGGGACAAAGATGGACATTACATACTGCTCAAGGGACCCATACACCAACAAGAGATAACAATTATAAATATATATGCCCCCAAACAATGGTGCAGCTATGTTCATCAAACAAATTCTTCTCAAGTTCAAGAGTCAAAATGACCACAATACAACAATCTTGGGTGACTTTAACACACTTCTTGCACCACTGTATAGATCTTTGAAACAAAAGTTAAAAAAAAAAAAAAAAACTATAGAACTTAATAATATAATCAA